TGGGACCTACTTACGAACCATCAAGTTACATATTTAGATTTTTAATTTAAAGTTGAAAATTTGAGTTACAATTCACCGAACGTAAATTTTTCATTTTACACCAACATTTTCATAATTTTCATCAAAGTTACGAAGCTGATTATTTATAAAATTAATTTAATTTCCATTTCAGAACTTTATGCCAAAAGGAAAAGGTTTAGAAAATAGCAAGTACATATTTTATCCTTATCGCCTTTTATAACGCTGAGGAAGGATTTCTTAAATACAAAGGAGGCTAAAAGGATAAGGGCGGACTCCGATTTACTGCGAAAACTCTTTACGAAATCATCGGAAGATTTTCTATAATTTTTTGAGCTTAGAAGAATTCACAGGCCCTTTACACACGGTGTATTATATATTTTTTATATTAAACATCTGTCTTTATTCATTAAATTAAATTTTTAAATTAAATTATTAGAAAAGGAATAAGAGATGTAGTTCATTGTACACTTTAAATGAGCGTGCAGCGGGGTGGGGCGTGTGGCGTGTGGCGTGTGGCGTACATAACAAACATCATCTTGTGTTTCAGCGTCCCTTCTGTTTCATATGTAAATGCCTATTTATGACATTTTAATCAGAAAACACCGGGGAAAAAACAATGAATGAGATTCCCCTGGGAATGAGAAGTAAGTAGTTTTTACAACCTGTGTTATAATGTTTTTTTTTATAGGAGAGGGGGCAAACTAGCATGCTGCTCACCTGATGGTAAGTGACTACCGCCGGCCATGAACAACTGCAATACCAGGGGAATTGCAGATGTGTTGCCGGTCTTTTAAAAAGAAGTAGGCTCTTTTCTTAAAAATCCGTAAGTTGTATCGGTCCGGAAAAATCGCTGGTGGTAACCGATTCTACAAGGAAGTTGTGCGAGAAAGAAAACATCTTCTAAATCGCACAGTGGTGAACCGCCAATCATCCCGATGGTATGGATGGTATCGAGAGTTTTGTCGCGATGTGCGATGTTGAAAATGAGCGGCTGGAATTAATCCGAAGAATTCCTCAGAGCACTCCCCGTGGTAAATGCGATAAAATACGCAAAGAGATGCAACAGTCATTCTCCCTGTGTAGAGATGGTAGTGATGGCTTACAGAAATTCCTTTGAACAGCCTTGACGAGATACCAGAATGCACAGGTTCCCGAAGGGAGGCGACCTAATTTCTCGCTAATTCTGCCAATGTGCTCATACTTTGCCTCGGAAATTACTCTTTTGAAGAACCTAGAGGCGAAGTTATACTTCTTTTTAAGCTTGCTGGTGTTTACATCGCCGCTGAATCTTCAGCCCAGGCCCGATTACACTCCTGCTTACTGTGGCCTTACAGGAGCGACTAAACCAAGGCTGAGATCTGCCTCCGATGGGTACCACTGATGATGGAATAAATAGTTCCACTTCCTGTAGCACCACATCAGTGACAGAGTCAGCAACAGCGCTGAGATCATCCGGCAAAAGGCAAACCCGCCCCCATGGGTAGGATGCAAAGAAAGTCCGCATTCCGTCCCAATCCGCCGACCTGTAATGCCAAACACGGCGGCAGCCTAAAGAACGCAACCGCGAAGGGAGCGTGAGTGGCACCACACTCCGGATCAGACAATGGTCCGAAGAGCCGAGAGGGGCATCGACGGAAACCTCTTATCCGTCCGGATGAGAGGTCAGCAGAAGTTCCAACAGGGAATGTGTATGATCCTCCACATCTGGAATCCGCGTAGGCGAAGTAACCAGTTGTGTCAGACCATATGCCAATCCAAAGTCATAAACAGATCTCCTCGCATGATCGGTTAAACGTGAACCGAGCCATTCGGCGTGGTGGGCGTTAAAATCGCCAGCATTGTAGCAAGAAATCTGTGGCCATTTGGACGTGGTCGATGAGTAGGTCGGTGTCGGCACTACCGCTATGGGACCTACAGGCACCCGTAGACGCGGGGATGGTCGTTGCTGTCTACGCGCTGTCAAAGGATGAACAGGTCCGTACCTTCAAAACTGCCGAGGCGTCGAGGACACATATCCTCTCTGACGTATATACAAACTCCAGCCCGGGGCACAAAAAGTGTTCTAATTTGTACCCCGGGTAGGACTGGTACGTGGTATCAGCCAGAGAGGACACCTGCATCTCGGTCAAAAAGAGCAAGGCCGGCTTCGCCGTCTCTAGATAGTAGTGGACAGCGTTAAGGTTTTAGTGAAGTCCCCTGATGTTGCAGAAGTCCACGGATAGCGTGGCAGGGGTCGCCATGGTTTTATCGCTCTGTTTACCCCGTGCAGTGTTAGTATAGAGCGGGTGCAGCCTGAGCACCTACGCTCAGAATGAAGAGGGTAGCTTGACCCTGGTTGCCCAGTGAGGGATTCTTCATTACCAGGGGTGCTGGTACCCTCTTGGGGTAGTCCTTTCTTTTTGAATTCCGCTACCATGTTAGATGTTACTAATTAAAATTATTCTATTCTATTCAATTCTATTCCTACATATACTGAATACTATAATATATGGACTTATAATTTTATGTGATTAGCACTGGCTAAAACTACATGAACATCATGTAGTTTTAGTCACTTGGAAGATATCCTTAAAACTTAATAGTTTAAGACGTATATAGGAGCATGCAGGTGTTCCTCAATATTTGAAAACTAGATTGTACAACCGGTGCGTGTTGCCAGTGATGACTTATAGATCTGACACGATGTTCTTCATTGCTGGCCGTATAATGAAGCTCAAGGTCGCTCAGCGGGCTATGGAGGGCTAAGCTTGGGTTTTCTCTACATGATAGACTTAGAAATTAGCATATCCGCAGTAAAACCAGAGAAACCAACATAGCCCACTGGGTTAGTAAGCTGAAGTGACAATGGGCCGACCATATACGAGCTCGAAGAACCGACAACCGATGGGAAAGAAAGGCTCTCTAGTGGCAAACTACCAGTAAGCGAACTGAGGGCAGGCCCCTACTAGATGAAGCGACGACCTGGTAAGATATCCAGGAATTTGATTAATACATGTGGCTCAGGACCATGCTTTGAAGTGTTCGTTGGGGGAAACCTTTATTCTTGTTTGGGGATGCTTGTTTAAACCTGCAAATGGATGAAATGCGACTTACGCTGTGCTTGCAATCTACATTAGTATAAATACGAATGCCAAGAACAAAACGTTACCTGAGCCCCCTTTCCCTAAAGGGGGTCGCTTCCGATTCGGCAGAAAGGCCATACAGGCCAAAGGCAGTCCCACAGGTGGTGTTTAGTGGGTAGGCACTTAATAGTGAGTCCCACATAACCACGCAGCCGGCTGCGTGGTATGCTATGAGCATTCACCACCTCCCTCCCCCGCTTCCGGAGGGTAGCCTTGCTATAGGCGCAAAAAAAACAAAACGTTACTCATTTCTTTCCGGGGTTTTGAACTTATAAGTTATATATGTGACTGTGAGTGGATCGATGTCAGTGTTTGCAGTGCCGGAAAAAGTAAGTATATGCCTCTTTGTTATACATATTTTATTGTATTTTGTAATTTATCAATCATATTATATTTGTTTTACTATTTGAGTGTAGTAGGTAGTTATGTAGTAAAAATTAAATACTAGAGATTATTCAAAACTTTTATAAAAGAACAAAAAGCCAAGGAAGATTAAACTTTAGGTACCTAGGTACTTTCTTGTTTAAAAATATTTATTTACGCGACGACGGCAATTCATTAAAAGAGCGGTGTTTCCGCGGGCATTTTGTTTTTTTTTTTAATGCAATAATTCTATTCTGTTGAGTTATAATAGCCATATTCTGGTAAAATCGTCTCGAAAACAAACATTTTTTTCAGGTCACAACTGATACAGAAAATGGCTGAAACTAAGAGGAAATATTGACAGTACAGTGCTGATTTTTTAAAATTTGGTTTTCTTCCATCAACAGCAGACAAACGATTGCCTATGTGTCTTTTATGCAACAAAGTTCTGAGCAATGACTCTATGAAACTAACGCAGCTCGAAGACCATCTAAGAAGGTGTCATCCTGAAAAAATAGGTACACACGTAAATACTTTCAAACATTGAAGGAAAAATATGAAAAGAGACCTACCGTAAATAGTATGTTTGCTTCAACGTCTCGAAGTAACGATGATGGCTTGCGGGCATCTTACAATATTTCGTTGCTTAGAGCGAAACCTGGAAAACTGCACACCATCAGAGAAGAGTTAATTTTACCCGCTATTGAAGAGGTTTTAAAGACTGTTCTGCACAAACCTACACTTGAGGTACTCAAAAGAATTCCTATAAGTAACAACACTGTACAAAGACGTATGGATGAAATTAGTTCTGATATAGAAAGCTTCTTGTGTGATTATCTGCAAACCACTCATTTTTCTATTCAATTGGACGAGTCTACTTTTCCTGGTAATAAAGCATTACTATTGGCATATGCTCGATTTGTTATGGACGAAGAAATCCACGACGAGCTGCTATTCGCATAAACTTTGAAGTCGGACACTAAACGGGAATCGATATTTCATGTCCTGAGTGATTTATTTTACAGAAAAATCTATTCCATTAACAAACATTATTTCGATTTGTGCTCCTGCCATGTTCGGGCGACATCGTGGTTTTTTAAGCCATCTTAAAAGAATAATACCAAGACTAATTCCAACCAATCGCTTCAATTTGTGATTAACGCAGTTAATAAAATAAGAAGCAATGCTTTAAATACCCGTTTATTTGCACTATTGTGCGATAAAAATGATGAATATTTCCAACGACTGTTCTTAAATACTGAAGTACGCTGGTTGTTGAAAGGTGCATGCTTATCGAGATTTTACTCAATTTTCAATCAGTGATAGAGTTTCTGGAAATTAAAGCACCATATTTAAAAGAAAATCCGATCAAATATAAAGCGGACATTGCGTACTTAACAGATTTGTTCAAAAAACTTGCAGTGACGGGGGGACAGCCTTAATTTAATTAAAACAATGGGTGCAATTTCGGCTTTTCTTGGTAAATTGAAATTAATGAAGCAAAATATTAATTGGCACGAATACTCCCAGTTTCCGCACTTGTCACAGATAGAATGTCTTGGTGAAGATATTCAAACAGCTCAACATTTAAGTATCCTGCATGATGACTTCAAAAATAGATTAGAAGATATTGTGACGATGGAAATATCACCATGGATCATAACCCCATTTAATGAACTGGAAGAGGAGAATGTGGTATTACAAGAGGAGCTACTTCAGCTCAGCACCAACGCGGAACTGAAGGTGAAATTTAAAAAAGGCTATCAAACATATTGGCTGCAGGCAGAAATCCCCGAAAAATATCTTGGGCTGTGGGAAATTACAAGAAAAATTTTGATAGCGTTTCCCTCGACATACCTTGTCGAAAGAAGTTTTAATGCCGTTACCAATCTGTTTACAAAAATAATTAAAAATTAAAAATTTTGTATAGCCGACTTCAATAGAAGTTATTAAGAATAACTCAAAAACTATTGGTCTGACCTTGATCAAATTCATATGGAACTACACGAGAAGTACCAGTTTTCAAATAAAAAAAAAATCATCGAAATAGAAAACACATAAAAAAAATAGTCGAATTGAGTACCGTCTCCTTTTTGGAAGTCGGCAGAAAAGGAGCAGATTGAACATCACAGAACGGGGAGATTTGAAATAACTTCTTACAAAATTGAAGCCAAATATTGATAATTTGCTGTCAATTCATCAAGTACATCCGTCTCATTAAAAGTATTACTATTTTTATTGTTCATTTATATTTCAGAGTTCATTGTTGATTTTTTGTCAATTGTTGATTGTTTGTAATAATAAATATTTATAATTTTGTATAACCGCAAAGTATTATTTTAATAAATAGGACACAAGAAAATGTGCTACTTGTTTTTCTTCTTAACTTCCCCAATTTAGGCTGATATTTTTTAGGAGTTTTGGGAATACAGATGAAATATAGCAGCAGGGGGTCTACCGAAAATAGTAAAACATTGAAAGTGGCCCACGAGAAAAAAAGGTTCGAAACCTCTGGTGTAAACAGTCGCTTGGCTTAAAATGCACTTGAAAGTTTCAAGCCAAATAGTTTAGACATAAAAACTTTACAAGTTTTTATCTTTAAAAACATTTGATATTTAACAAAAAAAAATTACACAATGCAAAATATTCTAAGGCTTTTAATGCGAAAAAACGGTTTTTGCCAATTTGCGGCTTGCACCAATTTACGTAAGACCAGTCTATTAAGACGTTTATCGTAATATTACAATAAGCGTGCTTAGGTATTAACATTTCAAATAGAAAAAAAATTTTACGTCCTTCATATATTCATATTTCATCATCATCATCATCAACCTGCGGCAGACATAGGCCTCTCCCAAGGCGCGCCACTTAGTCCGATCTTCGGCTACACGCGTCCAGTTTCTACCAGCCACCTTGAGCTGATCGTGGCTCGATCGGGTTAGGGGGCGTCCCACATTAAGTATGCCTAAACGTCCATAATACGTCTTCTCCACCGGTTGTCACTCATATTTATATCCGTATAAAGCTCAAAAGCTTTGATTAAAATCTCAAAAGAGAAGGTACCTCATTTTTGAATTGTATAAAAAAAATTTTTTGCAAATAGCAACACTTGATTTCTCAAAAACCGTTAGAGGGAGGCGCACGCGGGTAGCGGGCAATTCTGCGTCACAATTTTAGTTTTAGTAACGATGGAGCGCTTCACGAGACAACAGCGTGCTTTTTGTGTAAAACAATTTTACAATAATAACGATTCCTACGTTAGTTACTGTACGACGCCTATTTAGAATTGAATACGGACTACGCCGTGCAAGTGAGTATCCAAGTGTTAACTTAATCAAAGCTTGTGTCATGAAGTTCGAGCAAACGGGATCGACAACGAATATTAAACAAACAAGGCGGCCACGTTCAAGAGGAAACGATGAGAACATTCGGGAGGTTGAAATTTCCGTAAGGAACGATCCAGAATCATCTACGCGTAAGCGTTCGGCCGCTCTGGCAATACCAAGGACTAGTCTGCGGCGAATTTTGCACCTGGACCTCAAACTACACCCATATAAGCTTCAAATTGTGCAGGAGATCAAACCAAACGATTATATTAAACGTAAATTATTAGCTGACACTATGCTGGAGCGATTCTCTAGACTTGAGAATGTATTGTTTATAGACGTCGCCCATTTTTACATCAATGGGCACGTAAACAAGTACAATTCTCGATATTGGAGCAGAGAAAACCCTCGCCTTAAACATCAATGGCCACTTCATTCACCTAAAACGACAGTATTGGCTGCCATATCAGCAAAGGGCATAATCGGCCCGTATTTCTTTGAAAATATTCAAGGAGATAACGAACCTATAAACTCAGTGGAAAACGTAAAGATGTTTCGAGAGTTTTGATACCACAGTTACATGAGTTTGAAGGATACAACAGCAGGACTTTGATGCAACAAGATGGAGCAACATGCCATACGTTAAATGTGACTTTACCGGTGGTCAAAGAAATGTTTTTGATTTCTCGCAGAGGTGATATTCCATGGCCTCCAAGCAGTGGAGTAGCGTGCCTTAGAGGGGCCCTGTATCAAAATTTGTCGGAGGACCCAAATGAAGGGTAAAGATTTTTCACAAAAGGAACAAAAACTCTCGTATTGAATTAAAATAATTGTATATTTATTATAAGTTATTACCTACTTACAATTAATACTCCTATGAAATAAACTGGCCAAACGATTCAAACCAATAGTCCTTAGAATTTTTACTTACATACATTCGGGGCCCCTGTAGCCCTGGGGCCCCGTATCATTGATACGGCTGATACGGCGGTAGCTACGCCCCTGCCTCCAAGAAGCCCGGACCATACACCTTACGATTTTTTCTTGTGGGGATACTTGAAAAGTCGAGTGTACCTTGATAAACCGACAAATGTATCCCAATTAAAAGAAAACATCTACGAGGATTTCCAAAGTTTTGCGTAGTCGATTGCAAGAGTGCCAACGACGAGACGAGGCACCTCTCGACGATTTTTAAAAAATAAATTTCACTAAACGTTTATTACGTAAAATAAATGATCAACAAAATAATATTTGTAGTTTTATTTCTATTCATGTTTCATATTATGTGCAAAAATTTATAGCCCACCCGTTACTACACAATTAATAACATTTGTGATACTGTCTCACAAAATCTAGATTTAAAAGATCTTCTTGATGAAAATCGAACAATAATTTTACTTTGTTTTTACAATTTAAAATTAAAAATTTTGTACAGCCTATTTCAATATAAGTTATTAACACGTTGGTCGCCATGTCGGACAATGGTGACCGCCAGTAAATGTTTCATTCAGGCCGTGTCGGACAATGGTGACCGACAGGGCACACCTTACTTTTACTTACGTTTACACGCCAGCGGCCACTTTTTCATTAGATTTGCGCATATACTAAGTGACCCGCGCGGCCCTGTAGAGTATTAAAAATAATGTGTCACCCTAATTTTTTTGGATATTTGGAATGCTAGAGACGAAAAATAAAAGTATTTGCAAAATAAAAACACCACTTATCTAATCATTTGTTTATTTGAATATGAGGTCAATTTTCAATGGTTTTTTTTTAATGGGTATTAACTTTAGACACTAAAAATAATTATAAATCGAAAAAATAATTTAAGATCGAAGAAAGAATCGAAAGAAGAGAAGAAGATACCATTTTACAGGCTTCCTAAACAGAGTCGACTATGCAGACATCTGGTCCGACAAATCCACTGCCTATTTCGCTTCATTATATAGTTCAGAATTATCCTTGGTTTTCATTTTTGAACATCCCTTTTATTTGTAATATTTCGAAAATTTTTGGTTGTCCGACAGAGTGACCCGCGTGGCGCAATTGAAATAATTATTCCGTTCAGGCCACGTCGGACTAATGTGTCCGTCCGCAGTATATAAGCTTTATATACAAGCTAACACTATGTAATAACACCGTAGGTTTATAATTATACCTTAACTCAACGTAATATTATAAAAAGTGGGTGACGTTTTTTTGAAATTTTTCTAAATTCTCTTTGGCAACTAACGTGTTAAGAATAACTCAAAAACTATTTGTCTGACCTTGATCAAATTTACATGGCACACGAGAAGTACCAGCTTTCAAATAAAAAAAGAATCATCGAAATCGGTTCACCCAGTAAGAAGTTATGAGGTAACACACATAAAAAAAAACAGTCGAATTGAGTACCGTGTCCTTTTTGGAAGTAGGCAGAAAAGGCACTTATACTTTTGGTATTAGCGCTATCTAATGTCGAAACTTTGAACTAACCAATTTCTGTCTGCACATCATTCACTGACTAGAAAATGATTTTGTTGCCAGAGTAATTCAGAGTTCCGTTAGATTCCGAAAGATGTCACTAACGTGAATTTGTGATTGTTTGAAGTATAATTTTTAGTTAAATATAATATTTAACGCGTTTTAAAACAACTAATATCAAATTACACACAATAATATAAAATATAACCTACCTACTTAACAATAACAAATTCTTATAAATGAGGGCATCCACGACTTTGTCTGCCACCAGGGCGGCGCCACTGAAAATTGATGTGTAATATTTGACAGGTTTCTTAGCGGGGAAATTCATTTGTTCAAAAAAATGTAAAAACTAATGTTTCTTTCTGTATTTACTATTATATTAATTAGATTAAAAATAAATAAACCAAACCACAGATATTCATAAAAGTAAAGAAAATAATAAAGAGTTAAAATGTCCAAAAAATTAAAGAGCAAAACACTGAGGCTTTGTTTTGTGTACTAATATAACAATCTAGAAATTGTTAAACTTTTATTTAAAATTAAATTAAATGACATCTATACATATAATAATTGTGTAATAAAAACTTAACATTAATGTCAACTAGCGACATCTGGTGAGTGGAAAATTTCATTGACAGCATCAAATAGTTTAAATTATTGATGACAGATGGCAATGTGAATCCTACGTCAAATGTTGAATATAATAAACTATAAAAATAAAATTGCAAGTATAATTACATTCAAAGATATCTTATCAACCTTTAGAAATTAATTTAATAAACTTAATTAGGAAAAAATATTTATATTTTAAGAAATAAATACGGAATCAACTTGTCTATGGTTGATACTTGATAGAAAAGACAGCAAAAAGTTGTTGTAGCTTTATGGTTCTATATATTTGTGTCGGACAGAAATACGACGAGTTACGCCGGCGAACAATTTATTTCAATTATCATGGGTAAGCTCACTAGACGAGCTGTGTGTTATCGCTTCGTGTAGAGAAATCTCTTTACTATATAATTAGTTAATAGGAAGTCATAAACGAGTGTCGTGTATCGAATAATGGTTTGGGATGAAACATTAGTGACGTCTCGCCTTGCAACCTTGGTAGTGATTACGAGAAAAAGTGTATTTTGAAAATATTCCGAGTGTTTTCTATTAGAAAACGTTTGTGAGATATTTTACAAACTGTGCGGTGGTAGTTTTGCACTGTGTTGTCGATAAATCGGTGTTATGTCGGGTGGAAGAAGTATCGACAAGGAGCGCAAGTCGCCGAGGGAAAGTGGGGAGGATTCCGAGGATGAGAGCGAAATTCTCGAAGAGAGTCCCTGCGGGCGCTGGCTCAAACGTCGTGAAGAGGTAAGTACTAATAAAATAAACAGATTAGTTCCTTTATAACTTTAACCTCTTCAAATTTAGGACATTAAAC